GTTCGTTACACAGGAAAACTTATGTCATGAGGGTTTGTTGCACAGATGATTTCATCACCCAGGTGTTAAGCCTAGTACCGATTAGTTACTTTTCCTGATCCTCTCCCTTGTCCCACTCACCACCCTCAAGTAGGCCCCAGTGTGTGTTGTTCCCTCTATGTGTCCATGTGCTCTTACCATCTAGCTCCTACTTATAAGTGTGAACATTCCAGCCAGTGCTTTCTGATGTGCTTACTACGTGCTTACATTTTGCTGAGTGCCTTATGTTTATTCATTCAGTGTTCACAACTATCTTATGAACTTGTTATGATCATTTTTACCATTTTACAGATGAGAAAACTAAACTACAGAATGATGGAGTAATTTGTGCAGGTCACATCACTAGGAAGTTGGGAGTCAGGACTTGAATGCAGGCAGTCTGGCTCCAAAGTCTCTCACCAATCGATCATATCAGTTCTCATACTGTAACTGGTATAATAAAAAATAAAAAAAAAACATTTATTTGTTTCTTGTGTAAACTAGAAAGTGTCACCTACTTGAAGAGAAAAATATCTTCTGTAATGTGGATACGTCAGGAAGTGAGATTTGCATTAGGCAACATACTCATAGGTTCATCCTCACTGGGAACGTCTAGTGTGTGCCAGAAAATGGTTCCACAGCAGAAGTCCCACCGCTGGTCCATCAGGGTGGCTTCCAAAGATACTAAAAGCCCAACAATTTCTGCAGCTACTTCCACTCTCACCCTGGTCCAAGCCACCACCCTCAGGGATTGGTGTCATGGCCCCCGAAATGCTTCTACCAGTACCGTGTCCTGTCATCAGCAGGGCAGCTGGATCACATGGCTGCTTGTTCCACTCAGAACAAAAGACTCTATCCAAGAGCCTGTGTGATCTGCGCCCTTCCTATACATCACTTCTTTACCCCTCACCACCCTGCCTCCAACCCCACATCCTTACCTGAGCCACAAGCCTTCAGATTGTTCCTGGGCAGGCTCACATCAGGCAAGTTATGCCTCAGGACCTTTGTGCTTCCTGGTCCCTCTGTTGGAAGTGCTCCCCCTGAAATGTTACCGGACCCGTGCTGATCACTGCAGCACCATCACCCACCACTGCACCCACTCAGCCCTCTATCCTTCCTCCCTGCATTATTTTTCTCCTTAGTGTTTGTAATGACTTGCTCTTCCATCTATTTTACGAATGTATTAGTTTCTTCTTTGTCTCTGAACACTAGCGTGAACACTTTCTTTTTTCTCTGCTTTCTTTCCTGGTGTAATCCCAGAACTGAGAATCTAGTGGGCATTTTACAAATTGACTAAATGAACAAATGAGTGCATTGTGGAGTTGTTTTACAGAATTAAATGAACTAGCATATGAAAAGTATTTAGAACAAATAATGCTTAGCATGAAATTAATGTTTAATAAATGTCAGGTATCAATAAAAGAATAACATAATAGTTATTGAATGAATGATGCATTCGATACTATTACTTGTTCCTGTGGTGGGAGGAGAGTAATCAAGCTACAGATGTTTTAAATATTTTAATGTACATTTACAGTGTGTGCTAGAGGAGATAATCAGGGACATTGTTTGTGTTCTCTTTTCCTATTGTCTGGAGGGCATACTGTACTACTCTTCTCTAGGCAAGTGGGTGGTTCTCAAACTTCGCTGGACTTGGGAATCACCTGGAGATTTTTAAAAAACTGATCCTGTTTCCCATCCCAGATATTCTGATATAGTCAGTCTGGAGTGTAACTCAGGCATTAGGAGTTTTGAAATGCTCCCTGAGTCATTCTAATGTGCTGCAAAGTTTGGGAATCACTGCCTTAAGCTTTTCACAGAGCTAGCAACAGCAGAAGGAAAAGCCTTCCTCAGTCCCTCTCTATGCTTGGAATCGAGAGTTGTGCCAACCTCGGTTCTAAAACACATGCAGCCATTAGCAAGTCACCTAGCTTTAGTAAACTTTACCTTCCTTAATTTTATATCTGCTGTGGGAAATGGCAAAAACCCAGAATCCAGGGCCAGGCTCCACAATTTTAAATTTTCCTCTTCCCTCCCTTTCTTCCTTTCTTCTTTCTTTCCCTTCTGTCATCTGAAGATAAAAGGACAGAATCGTTTTCAAATGTGGCTCAAAAATGGCATGCTCTGAGATGGTGATGGTGCTTTCTTACAGAGGAGATCAGAGAAATAAAGTGTCCACCATGCCTAGGTGACATCATTCTCCCCCAGACATGCCGAGCTGTACCTATTTCAGGCCCAGGAGGGATCAATCTCTGAAGGTCAACTTCCCACCCATTGGGGCCCACTGTGGGAGTATCAGAGGTCTTCCTGGTGTCCTGGGTTTAATCCCTGGCCTCCCCACTTCTTCCCTGTGTCTTAGTGCCTCCCAGCCTGGGGTCTTGTCTGAGGCTCTTACCCTGGTCACTGGGGCTCACTCTGCATTGGTTTTGCTGGCCTACTCAGGGTCTGAAATTCTGTCCTCTGACATCCAGGCCTCTCCATCTGATCTCCTACCCACCTGAGTTCTACCCACCTCTCTTCATCCATCCCAAGAATATACCATATCATGGTAGCCATGTCTAATTTCTGGGTTCAGAAAAGCACCTGAACCCACCCTATAATGCCACCAATCTCAGCCAGGACTTTTCTATTAATAGAATGATGGTGGGACATTGGGGATATCACACTAGTGCAGCCAGCATCATGGGTGTGTGACCCACGCGTTGACATAGGACCCTGGGCTGGGTTTAATGTTCTGCTGTCTTGAAGTTAGTCATGTTTGAATGAAAGGCTCCACATTTTCATTTTGCACTGTTCCTGCAAATTATCTAGTGTGCGCCACACTTCAAATCAGAAGACGTGGTATGGATTGTACCTGGCTTACACCCGAGAAGAGCGTGACCTCAGCCAAGTTATTTTTCTTTCTTGGCATTTGCAAAGAAGGAATGTGAGTGGGGTAAAACTGCCTCCATCATAGGGGAATTTTAAGAATGAAATAAGGTAACAGATGAGTGTCAGCACATGGTGCATAACATGTTAGTTCTCAATGAACACTTCTCTTTTTCCTGTCGTTCCACCTCCCAAGCAGCTAAGTTGAAAAGACACTTCCTTTCTGTTTAAAATGCATTTATATGTTTATTTTCCTAGATAGTGATATATACCTAAAGGACAGATCTTGGAAGGTTTTCATTGACCTTACCTAATTCTTATTAATTACACAGAAAGACAACAGGATTCCTTCTTTGCTATCTTTCTTTATTACATTGAACAATATGTTGTCCAGATGGCATGTAGAGTAGCATCTTCCAAGTCATTTTTAAATGTTCTTCTTTTACTTATTGAAGAAGATTGCATATAGAGAAAATTGAATCAAACCCATGTCATTGAAATAATCTTAGCTTACATTACATTAAGGAGATTTCTATTGTTCAGACTAATAACTCTTCCACGAAAGAAGGCTGCCTTGGACAATGTGCATGAGTGAAGATTAAGAGTCATGGGAGTGGATCTTTGACCATGGGCCCTTAGTGACAGTAAAACAGTATTTTCATCTTAGCTTTGCTATTGGTAAAATACACAAAATAGTACTAGTTCTGCCCTCTCATTCTCAATTTGTGGATCAAATTAGGTATCTGTGGAAGCATTCTGAAAATTTTTGAATGCTATACAATTTTCAAGTTGGGATTATTGATACGACTTCTGAAGTTTAGGTGTTAATGAAAAGATTCATTTGAATCACTTGAAAATCTTTCCATAAAACAAATGCCAAGAGCTAAGTTCTCAACTTCTTTGGAAAGGGAGATGCATTTGGCAACAGGATAACGTGTCACCACCAAAATAATCCCCAATTTTACTGGGGCCAGAAGCCATAGGTATTACCTTCTAAATGTCTAAAACCCTCTGAGGCTGTTTCTCAACGTATCAGTTATAACTTGATAGCTTTTCACAAATCTCTTTTTCTCTACTTATTAATTTAAGTATTAATAGAGAATCTACTGTGTGCCAGATATTGTTCTAGGTACCTGAAATAAATCAGTGAATAAAACCAAGTTCCTTGCCCTCATACAATATATGCTACAGTGTAGAAAGCAAAACAATAAAAATAATCATAAGATTAAGTGTACAGTTTACCCTTGAACAAGATTAAGTATACAGTTGACCCTTGCATGTGGGGCTTAGGGGTGCCAACCCCACATGCAGTCAGAAATCCACATATAACTTTGGATGTCCTCAAAGCTCAATTACTGATAGCGTACTATTGACCAGAAGTCTTACCAATAACATAACAGTTGATTAACACATATTTTGTATATCATATACATTATACTCATGTGCTGTATTCTTACAATAAAGTTAGAGAAAAGAAAATGTTATTAAGAAACTCATAAGGAAGAGAAAATGTATTTATTAATCATTATGTAGAAATAGATCATCATAAAGGTCCCCATCCTCATCGTCTTCACATTGAATATGTTAAGTAGGAGGAGGTGGAAGAGGGGATGGTCTTGCTGTCTTAGGGGTGGCAGAGGAGGAAGAAAATCCGTGTGTAAGTGGACCCGTGCAGGTGAAACCTGTGTTGTTCAAGAGCCAACTGTATTCTACAGCACGTTAGCACATGATTAGTGCTATGGGGAAAAAATAAGTAGAAGAGTGTAAAGGGGATCGGGCATGCTGGGGAGCAGGGTTGCATTTCTGAAATGTATGGCCAGGATAGTCCTCTTAAAGAAGATCACATGTGAGCAAGAGGTTGAGAGAGGTGAGGCTGGAACATACGCATATCTGCAGGATAGGCATTCCAGGTTGGAGGAACAGCCAATGCTAAAGCCCCATGCAAAAGTGGCCCAGTGAGTAGGCCATGAAAGAAGCATGATTATGGGTCTCCCCAGATCTTTCTCACTCTTTACCGAAAGACAGGTTTTGAAATTAAAGAGAATATGATTGCCAGGCCAATGCGTAAGACATACATTGATGCCTTGTTTCTCTTGTATGTGCTTTCTCCACAGTCACATGACACAGGCAATCCCTTTTGACGACCCTCGGTTAGAGAGCTGCCAAATCATCCCTCCGGCTCCTCGGAAGGTGGAGATGAGAAGGGACCCCGTGCTGGGGTTTGGTTTTGTGGCAGGGAGTGAAAAGCCAGTGGTCGTTCGCTCAGTAACACCAGGTAAGTACCCAATCCCAGTCTTGGTTTCCTGGGACTGTCTGCCACATCCTGCCAGAATGACTACTATTCAGTCTCATAAGAGTCCAGGCTGTAAAAGTTGGATATGTTTTTTCAAAACTTGGATAGGCCAGAGGGATAAAAATGCCTCATCAAACTAGGTTTTAAACTGCCAAATCCATCATTATCACCTGACTCAAGAAAATACTGAGCCATCATCTATAATCATGGAAATGACCCACTTCTTAATTTATGAATGCAGACAATAAGAGGCAGGCACGGTACTGTATTACAGTAAGCCCATGATGAACTGCTTAGTTAAAAAAAAAAACAAAAAACAAAAAAACAGGAAGTGGTTACAGTAGGATTGAGTCGTTGGGGTAGTTGTATTATTTTACAAGTATGCATTCCCCCCCCCTTCTCATTAGAGGCAGAATAAAGGGAAATCCATACTCCATTGCTGTTGGGCTGGACCAGGTGATTGACATTGGCCAATGGCATATTAGCAAAGATGACATAAGCAAAGGCTTGAGACATGCTTTTGCTGTTGATCTTGTTTCCTGAGCTTCGGCCATGGCTATAAGAAGGGAGTGTTTAGCTGGGCACGGTGGCTTATGTCTGTAATCCCAGTACTTTGGGAGACCAAGGCTGGTGGATCACTTGAGGCCAGAAATTCGAGACCAGACTGGCCAACATGGCGAAATCCCATCTCTACTAAAAAGACAAAAAATTAGCCAAGCATGGTGGCACATGCCTGCCATCCCAGCTACTTGGGAGGCTGAGGCATGAGAATCACTTGAACCCAGGAAGGGGAGGTTGCAGTGAGCTGAGATTGCACTACTGTACTCCAGCCTGGGCAACAGAGTGAGATCCTGTCTCAAAAAGAGAGAGAGAGAGAGAGAGAGTTTTCTCCAGGTAGCTGTGACCTCTTCCATCTGAGTCCCATAATGAACACATGAGGCAACAGGCCCGCAGTGGGGAGCCAAGTACAGCCTCATCTGCAGTTTGGTACAGAGCTGTACAGCTAAGCCAGGCTGAAATCATCCAGTCTGCGGTTACCCTGAAGACCCATAACCATGAGAAGAAATGATCATTGGACACCTATTGAGCTTTGGGGTGATTTGTTATACAACAAATGCTGACTAATACAGTACATGTCAAATCTTTAAAATTCTACAACATTAGATATTAATGTACTTTCCCTTGATCACTCACATTAGAGTATACAGATGTTCCACTGTCAACACAGCTGAATACAATGGACTATGATACAATCAGCTGAAGTGGGCTGTCTTTGCCTTTGCAGAAACAATGTGCTTTTATTATTTATTTATTATATATGTATTTATATGCTTACTGTAATGGATTCATATTGGATTTATTTTCAGAAAAAAAGGAAATTATCTTCCATGTCCTATCTTTCCAGGATTTTGCAAATCAGTAACAGAGTTCAGCAGTAAAGTACTACACTTAGGAGCACAGACTCTGCCATCAGATTGCCTGAGTCTGACTCCTACCTCTGCCCCTTTTTAGACTTTTTAGCTTCCATGTGAAATTCCCTGCATTTCAGTTTGATGTAACTTCTCTACATCCTCTGTATAATGGGGATCAGAGTAGTATCTACCTTGTAGGGCTATGGAGAGGATACAATATATTAGAAGAGTGCTGAGTACATCCTGGTCTTTCCGTAGATGTTTATTTTTCTTGTTATCATTATTTAACTCTAAAAGGTTTGGCCAGTTGAGTCTCTCAATTAAGGGAAACAAAAGCCAACTAGCGTCTGGTATAGATGTTTAAATTTGATTTAATTTTTTATTTTTCATTATTTTGACATAATATGCCCCAGGGCAAGCAGCCCAAATAATTAACCACTTTAGACTTGTGTTATCTGCTAAAGTTTTTTATTTCATTAAATATAGGTCATATTTTAGGTCTCTGTGTAGGACTGTTGAGCTTGACACAATTGAGAATTCTCAAAACAGATTTGTTGCTTCTTTTGTTAACATGCTTTGTAAAACAAAAATAGAAACAATGTAGATAGTATAGAAGAGAAAGTAAAAAAAAAATAACAAACCTGAATTCCTACTACCAAGAGATAGCCATTATTGATGTAGACAGAGATAATGTGTATAGTAGAGATAATTCCATGCATACACAAGCACACATATGTATTACATATCAGATAATATATTTTATACATACATAAAACATATATGTAGATGCGTGTGTGTGTATGTACACACATTTTTCCTAAATGGAATAATATTTGGCATGCTGTTTTATAATATTGGGATACTCTAATACCTCTGATTATGAGATTATCCAAAGTATGTGTCTTCCCAGAAGCTGAATGGAGATTCAGAGTCTTATTTTTCTTTTTTTTTTGTATCATCTCACTGTTCCTACAACCTCTCTCCTTCTTTGCCCTCAGGTCTCCTTAGCGTCAAAGACACTAATACCTACTGTTATACAATTTTGAGAAGAGCAGAAAGAAAGTAAAAACAAAGGTCAAAGAGTACTATTTCCAATTATTTTTATGAGTGAAATTGCTGGTCATACAAGCTGTGTCTTTCATAAAAATGACTCTACAGAAGTACCAAGTGATTTCAGTGCGTGACTAGATCTTCTATAGTAGGCAATCCAGACTTCAAAGTGAAGGCCATGAGACGGTTCTCTTGAAGTGTGCCACTCTTTTGTATTTTGGATTGGACAGTGTGTTTCTTGTCCAGAATTCCTGATTAAAGTTGCTTGATTAGACAAGAATAGTTTCATTTGATCAAAATGCATAGGTCAAATGTAAGAGTGTGTTAATCTGAGAGTGGCTTTCTTATTAGAATAGTTAACATTCATCCTTCAGTTACTTTGAAAATTTTTCTGTATTTGACCAGCATTTGATTTCTAACCACTTGTTTGACTAAATTTGAGTGATTGCTTGCACATCATTTAATACTTACAGTAAGTTTCCCAAGTGTTTTTTCTGAATTCCTTATGTGTGCAAACACTGAATCCCACATCTGTAAAATGAATATTTTCTATCACTAATATGAGGACAAGTTAAGGTTCCCCTACTCTCTTACTTCACAGAAGGAAGACGAATTTATGCTACAGCTTAAGTGACATATATGCCTAGTGTCTGGGTGGTTAGAAAACAACTGAATTACTTTCAGTTCCATGTTCTGGTTATGAAGTGCTCATTTCAATTACTAAATGAAGTAATAGCAATAATATTTGAAAGATAACGTTTCAGCTGCACCTATCACCCGGTGTCAGACCTGTGGAAATATAGTTAAAATTATAGTACCATATGCTACCATATCAATATTTGGGAGGTAATTGCACATGTCTAGAGCTCAATCCAGGTAATTGTTTTTAGGTCTTACTTGAATACAGATGTATGCTTCACACAGATGTGATTTTAAGTTTATGTGTCAAGAGACCTGGCAGTGACTAGGTTCTGAATTACAGGAGCAAGTTCAAAGGAGACTCTGGCCATTCTAAACTTGCAAGTGTCCAAGCTAAGATCTAGACCTACCTTCAAGTCAAATCTTTAACCTGTGTGAATCTCAATTATCTTATTATATGGAAGGGATTATAGTATTCTGTGAAGTTACTAGGCCAAGAATTTAACCCATTGCCTTGTGCTTTCGAGAAATGCATTATCTCACCCTGCACCTCTGCAGGGTAACAAGATCCCCAGGTGATTCACCATAAAGTGTGAGAAGCGCTGCTAGACTGAGTCTCAACCTTGCTTGTAAAGTTTTAGAAAAATGTGGATGCCTGGGTCCCACCCCAAAAGATTCTTATTTAATTGGTCAGGGTACAGCCTCAGAAATGTCCAAAGAACACCCAAGTGTGGCTGTGTTTCGGTTTTGCTGATAGCACCATTTGCTCACAGTGAATCATGATCAGGGGAGGAGGCTTAAGATGGGTCGCCAATATTTTTCTTACCTGTGCTTCATTCTCCTTTGTCTCCAGGTGGCCCCTCGGAAGGCAAGCTGATCCCGGGAGATCAGATTGTAATGATTAATGATGAACCGGTCAGCGCTGCACCCAGAGAGCGGGTCATCGATCTGGTCAGGTGGGTGAGTCATTCACCTGTGTCCTGTCTGCCTTGAAGGCTGCTGCACAGTTCTGAGATCTGAACTAGCAGGGGAAGAGCCTCCTGTGGGACAGTTTAGGACAGAAACACAAGCCAACACATTCACATCATTGAAAATGCTGCTGACACTGACCTGTAGTATAAAAACACATGCTCCATAAACACAAAATACGTCATTGTCCACTCTCTGTTAACACTGAGGGTACATATGCTTCAGTTGAAAATTTTTATGACTCCTATATCCAAAGTTTGCATTTTATTCCTTCCAGAATTACTAACACATTGATTTTTCGTAATCAGGGAGATCAAAATGCAATACCTGAATTCACCATAAGTGATGAGTAATTTTATATACATAATCCCATGGATATACAAACATACAGTTCACTGATACTTCATATTCGACTAAGTGCTTCATTACTGAATTTTGAGATTATCTAATGTGGCGATAGGATGATTAGGTCAAGGCTAAGAGTTTATAAAACACACTTGGTTTATTGGTTTGGTTTTATTGTAGATATAAGTAGTTTGTTATGTGATATTCTTAATGGGGCACCAGAAAATGTATTTTGTGTTAAAAATATTGGTCAGGAACCCCCCTAGAAGCCCACTGGAGTTATACTTCCTTACTGAATTTACAGAAAAAGAGATCTTTACAAGTTTTTCAAATGAAGAAGCTGGGCCTATCATATGAATGTATTCATTCATGCTATGGGAGTGTTAAGGAATAAGGAGACATGACATTTGTCTTTTATAAACTGATATTTTCAACCAAGATTGAAGCCAAAGCTGAGGTTATCAGAACACTTTTCACTGAAGAGGGGATTTCCTAACATTTATGCCCAGTCATTACAAAAAGTATTAGGTTGGTGCAAAAGTAAGTGCGATTTTTGCTGTTCCAATCGTAAAAACAGCAGTTACTTTTGTACCAACCTAATCCGTCTGTACTTTGGGAAAGAGATTAAGTGGAGTATTTCTGGGGTCTTTCAGAGGAAGTTTTTTCTCAAGCCTAGTTCAGCTTTTGCTTCACAAAGAGGTTCTGGAGGGTCAAGAACTCTTGGAAAAACTGGGAGAGGGGCAAAAAGAGAAATAGAGAAGGCACTCACTTTTAGTATAAGCAGTCATCGCAGTTTTAGCATTTAAAAGGCCCATATCCCAGGAAAACCCCCTGTCCTGGAATGGTTGGTCACTGCTATGGTCTAAATGTTAGTGTCCCCCCAAAATTTGTATGTTAGAACCTAATACCCAATGTGATTTGTATTAAGAAATGGGGCCTTTAGATAAGTGATTAAGTCATTAGGTCTCTGCCGTCATGAATGGGATTAGTATCCTTATAAAAGGTTGAAGAGAATTGCCTTGGTCCTTCTCCCATGTAAAGACACAGTGACAAAATGCCATCTTTGAGTAATGGGGCCTTTACCAAACACCAAATCTTCTGGAAGATCTTGGACTTCACTTCCTCCAGAACTGTGAGAAATAAATTTCAATTATTTGTGAATTACCCAGTGTAAGGTATTTTGTTATAGCAGCTCTAACAGACTAAGACAGTCACTCTATTTCAGACTGGGCTTAATGGTCACTCTGCTTCATCTGGGCTTAGTTCCCAGTTGACTAGAAAAGTCATACCTTTACTTCTGGGGCATCCAGATCTCCAAAGAATGGTCTTACACAGGAGCAGACACTGAGACTTGTGTCATATTCACTGCATCAGGAACAAGATCTGGGAATGTCTCCAATCTTTCTATGGACAAGGGGAGCCAGAACAGGGAAAGATTCTGTATGTAAGAGCCCTTGGGGGGGAGCAGCAGTGTTCATTTGGAATAACTTCTCTCTTGAGATATGTGTGGGTGTCAGCAGGGGCACACCTCATCTAGGCAGGCTCTGAACCTGCTATTAGCTTGCATCCTGGAGTGCCATGTTTGGGCTTGATGGCAGAAGTTGCGTGGACATTTTGTTGTCCCCTAGGTATGCACCTCTGTGATTAGTACTATTGATTTCTGTGCTTGGAGGATGATAGAAGAAATAAAATGTCTATGTTTAGGTTGGCTGTGATTTAATTGCCTGCTGCAGGACAGTGACAGAGAAAAACCTATCTGAAAGTGTGATCATTTCCTAGCAATTCTTCCAGGGATATGTAAAAAGATTATTTACAAAGAAGATGTTTTCTTTCTGGTTTAATGCTTGTAGAAGAAAATGGCATATCTGTAAACAAAGCGATCTCTCTAGAACTTTACATATAATAAAAAGAGCCAGTTAAAAGAGAGGATGGCAAACAGCTCCAAGTTCAAATCCAGCCTGCCACATGTTTTTGCAAAGTCCCTGAGCTAAGAAAGGTAGGGTTTTTTTTTAACCATTTTTTTTTAGGTTAATTTTTTTTTATTATTTTTTTTCCCATTTATTAATTTTATTGCATTTTAGGTTTTGGGGTACATGTGAAGAACATGCAAAATTGTTGCATAGGAACACACATGGCAGTGTGATTTGCTGCCTTCTTCCCCATCACCTACATCTGACATTTCTTCCCTTGCTATCTCTCCCCAGCTTCCCACCCCCCACCCTCCCTCCCCTATTTCCCCACAACTGACCCCAGTGTGTAGTGCTCCCCTCCCTGTGTCCATGTGTTCTCATTGTGTATGAGTACTGCTACAGCAGACCTAAAAGTACCTGCCCAGCAGCTCTGAATGAACAACAACAGAGCTTGCAGCTCACCGTTTGAGCTCCTATAAAGAAGAGACCGTCTCCTCAAGCAGCTCCCTGACCCCTATATATCGAAAAAGACACCTCATAAAAGAGAGATCAGATTGACACTAGGCGGGTATCCTTCTGGGACAAAGATAGCAGAAGAAGAAAACTGGTAACAACCCTTGCTGTTCAGCAGCTGCTGCAGGTGAACCCCAGGCAAGCAGGGCCTGGAGTGAACCTCAGCAGACCTACAGCAGAGGGGCCAGACTGTCAGAAGGAAAACCAAGAAACAGAAATAACCTCATCATCAACAAACAGAACGTCAATCTGAAAGATTTGAGACCCAATCTGAAAGCCAACAACCGCAAAGTCGACAGGTGGATAAATCCTTAAAGATGGGAAGAAACCAGCGAAAAAAGGATGAAAACACCTGAAACCAGAACACCTCTCCTCCTAAAAGGGATCACAACTCCTCACCAGCAAGGGAACAAGGTTGGAGGGAGAACGAGTGTTTTAACCATTTTTTAAAAGTTGAAAAATATATTTTGTGAGACATGGAAATCATATACAATTCAGATTTTAGTATCTATAAATATTTTGGTGGGTATAGCCATGATTGCTCATTTACATTTGATCTATGTCTGCTTTCCTGCTACAACAGCAGAGTTGAGTAGTTGCAACAGAAACTATCTGACTCACAACCTTTTCACTCTTATTAAACCACAGTGTTAAAATAATGTATGTCTCACTAATGAAAATGATCACACATTAGAAAATATTCCTATAGACCGGGCGCAGTGGCTCAAGCCTGTAATCCCAGCACTTTGGGAGGCCGAGGCGGGTGGATCATGAGGTCAAGAGATCGAGACCATCCTGGTCAACACGGTGAAACCCCGTCTCTACTAAAAATACAAAAAATCAGCTGGGCATGGTGGCGCGTGCCTGTAATCCCAGCTACTCAGGAGGCTGAGGCAGGAGAATTGCCTGAACCCAGGAGGCGGAGGTTGCGGTGAGCCGAGATCGCGCCATTGCACTCCAGCCTGGGTAACAAGAGCGAAACTCCGTCTCAAAAAAAAAAAAAAAAAAAAAAAAATCCCATTTTCTGAGCCACTAAGGAAATTGGGAAAAACACTCATCATTTTGATAACACTGTAAATTTCTCTCTTTAAAAATTGGCATCCATTTACTGGCTTTAGTGGTGTAGTCTTGTTTTGTTCCTTTTACCCCATCACAGCATGTGTTCATGGATCATTTTTTGTTCCCAGATACATTTGTTTCTTGGCGGATTATTTTTCTTATCATTGGGTTACTCTATTATAGAAAAGTATTCTTTTCTTGTGAAAATGAAAAAATTTCGCAGAAACCAATTTACTACTATACTAACGACATTTTGGTTTTTCATGTAGTCTCGAAAAGCTATAATTGCTGCACTGAAATTAGATGAGTTCTGTTCACTTCATAGTCTTCTAAGTTGTTAACTCTAGCTCAGACTTTATAGTGTTTGAGGAACAAAATCTTTGAAGAATCCATGCCCTTTACAAATTACCATATCTTTCTTCTTTAAAAGTATCTAAGAATGACTTTCTTTTCACAATTAGACTAATTACCTTGAAGCACTCTCCAAAATTTTATTTTTAAGAAGTAAGGAGTATTACTTCCCATAGAATCATTATGAATTGTGCCCTGCCTTCCCACTCCCAAGGCTGGCTGGCCCAATTAAATTCATTTGACTTCCACAAAGAAGTATTGAGGATTAACAGACATCATGTAAGGCACTGAGCATATATAGATACATAGGCATAATTCTTGCCCTTGAGGAGAAGACTTCTATCTAATTAATTTCCCTATATTTATGACAGGACAAGGTTGTTGACGAGGGTAGTATTTGGTAGGAATGTTTGGTGGAGATGGATGGTGTGTTAAAGGATGTTATTGATGGTAGTAAAGAGTAACCATCAACGCGAAGTGAAAGAGCAGGTTTATGCATGAGAAGGGAGTTGTAAAATAGATCTTTTCTTTGACCCTGAAAACCCCAGAACTTCCTGATGAACACTCACTTTCCAACCTGCAGATATTTAAAAAATCCATTGCCTAGATGGCTGTCCTGAATCACAACCTCAAAATTTGGTCCTTCAAGGCAGCAACATAAATCTACTAGCTGCTGTTAGACTAAGTGCAGGAAACTTTTTGGATTAGAGATGCAATTGGGAACCTGGTAAATGCCATATACCTTTCACTCCATCCAGAAAAACTCACATGTATACAAAGTTCTGCATACAATATTAGAATGTTTTTTG